CCACAACTTTTGCCTTTCTCAATCCCTAACTCAAATAGTCAACTATCCAACTCGCTTTCCAGATAACCCGAATCATTTACCTTCTCTACTCGACTTATGTCTTGTTTCTAATCCTAGTCAGGGCTCAGTTTCTCCACACTCACCCTTAAGTGTCTCCGATCATGATTTGATATCTCTAAAACTATTATCTCATTCTTCTTTATCATCAGAATCCCCCTATCATTGTACATCTTACAACTACCTTAAAGCTGACTGGGACTCTTTCTGTGATTTTCTTTGTGATGGCCCCTGGGTAGAAATCTTTCGTCTCTCAGTTGACAAATGTGCTTCTAACATAACTTTGTGGGTTCAGGCTGGCATGGAATCCTTTATTCCCTCTGGATGATTCCAGGTCAAGCCTCACACTCCTCCATGGTTTTCCTCACATTGTACTGCTGGAATTGCCAATCGAAACCATTACTTCCATATTTATCAGCAAAACAATTCTCCAGAAAACAGATGTCTGTTTATTACTGCTAGGAACCATTGTAAAAAGGTTTTGTCTAATGCCAACGCCCGCTATTCTCAGATCATGAAATCTTGTATTTCATCACAAAAGTTAGGCTCTTGTGACTTCTGGAGAATCTTTAATAGTATCAATAATAAGGGCAAGTCTGTAATTCTATCTCTTTTGTATAGTTCAGACTTTGTCACCTCACCTAAAGACAAAGCTGAATTGTTTGCTAAGAACTTTTCATCAATATCATCTCTTGACTCCACTAGATCTACCTGATATAGCCCTCTGATATATCGCCCTACCTGATATAGCTGTTAAACAGGTTGATCCATTGCTTGACATCCATATCACACCAGCTTCTGTATCTAAAGTGATTTCCTGCTTAGACTCTTCTACAGCTTGCGGCCCGGACAACATACTGGTTATAGTCTTGCAAAAGTGTTCTCCGGAGTTGTCATTTATCCATGGTGGCCACAGTCCTGGAATGTCCTGGATTTTTGCAAGTGTCCTGGAATGTCCTGAAAAATCTTGGAAAATTACATTTTTTTCAAAAATGTCCTGAAATGTCCTGGAACTTTTTTTTTTCTGAGTCAAGTTAAAAAATTAATAATAATATTGAAGTAATATTAAATTTTTTATGCAAAAAAATTTTTTATTTAAATGGTTTGAATTTAATTTTAAATTCATTAATAGAGTAATAATAATATAATAATATAATATTCTTTTCTATAATTCAATCAATATAAAGAAAAAATATAACGTAAAATAATTGATAATATTCATTTAATAAGATATCAAATGTCCTGGAAAACTCAACAAAATATCCTGGAATGTCCTGGAATGTGGTCACCATGTCATTTGGCCTGAATGTGGCCACCATGTCTATCCTTTCAAAACTATTTAACAAGTGCTTATCAGAGTCTTGTTTTCCAGCCTGCTGGAAAGCAGCATCTGTTATCCCTATTTTTTAAAATTCTGGAGAGCGATCTGATTCATCTAACTACCATCCCATTAGTCTTCTTCCTATCATAAGAAAGGTTTTTGAATCTTTAATTAACAAACACTTAATCTCTCATCTTGAATCTCATAACCTACTTTCTGATCGTCAATATGGGTTTCTCGTTTTACGGCTGATTTGCTAGTAATAACCAATAGGTTTTATCGTGCATTAGATAAAAGTGGAGAGATTAAGGCCATTGCTCTTGACATTTCTAAAGCGTTTGATGAAGTTTGGCACGCTGGTCTTCTCCAAAAGCTTTCTTCTTACAGTGTATCTGGAAACATCTTTAAGATTATTGAATCCTTTCTTTCCAATCGTAGTATAAAAGTTGTCCTTAATAGACAGCACTCTTCTTCTTATTCTGTAACCTCAGGGGTTCCTCAAGGTTCAATCCTTGGCCCTATACTCTTTTTAATTTACATTAACAATCTTCCAGATATTCTCACATCTAAGGTGGCATTGATACTACCATTTATTCTTGTCATGATAAGAAGCCAACTCCCTCTGATTGCTTGCATAGAGCATTTGAGCTTGAAAAGAATCTCACTTCTGCTACAGCATGGGGCTCACAGTGGCTGGTGAACGTCAGATAAAAGTCAATTTTTTTTTGGCCAATCGTTATCGCAATAATTTAGACCTTCCTATATTTATGAACGGTAATGTACTCGATGAGTCATCTACCCTTCATCTTCTAGGATTAACTCTCACTTCTGATCTTTCTTGGAAACCTTATATCAAATCCATTGCAAAATTAGCATCTGCTAAAGTTGCATCTCTTTATCGAGCTCGACACTCTCTTACTCTGGATTCTATTCTCTATCTCTATAAATCTCAAATTCGACCTTGTATGGAAAACTGTTACCATATCTGGGGCGGATCTTCTAATGATGCCCTTTCTCTTTTAGACAAGGTGCAAATACGCATTGTAAACATAATTAGACCTGCTCTTGCAGCCAACCTTCAACCTCTGTCACATCCTCATAATGTTGCTTCTCTTTCTCTTTTCTACAAATACTATAATGGGCACTGCTCTAAAGTGCTAGCGTCTCTTGTGCCATCTACTAAAATTCATTTTTGTGTTACTCATCATTCAATTAAGTCTCATCCTTGTTATCTTACTGTTTCTAAGTGCTCCAAAGACTCTTATTTGTCTAGTTTTTTTCCTCGAACATCAGTTCTTTGGAATTCGTCCTTCATCTTGCTTTCCTGATTCATATAATTTGCAATCTTTTAAGTCATCTGTCAATCGTTATCTTGCTTTACAACCTTTATCTTTTCTCTTAACTAATATTTTCCAACACTAGTTAGTGGTTGCTTGCAGCCTTGTTGGAAGCGAAGATGTTAAGAAAAATATATATATATATATATATATATACATATATATATATATATATATATATATATATATATATATATATATATATATATATATATATATATATATATATATATATATATATATATATATATATATATATATATATATATATATATATATATATATAGGGGCTGTTCTAGGGAAATAATTTAGGTCGCGGTACCCCTGTAAGGGTATTTACAGTATGTAGGCGTTTTTTTGCAAAAAAAACAATATTTCCTGTTAAAAAAAGGGTCCTTAGCTTCTGAATTTAGGTGGCATCCAAATGCAGTCGACACCGAAAATGGTCTAGAGTAGCCCCTGATATATATATATATATATATATATATATATATATATATATATATATATATATATATATATAATATATATATATATACTGATATATAGTATGTATATATATATATATATATATATATATATATATATATATATATATATATATATATATATATATATACATATATATATATATATATATATATATATATATATGTATATATATATATATATTGATATATAGAATATATATATATATATATATATATAAATATATATATATATATATATATATATATATATATATATATATATATATATATATATATATATATATATACTGATATAGATATATATGTAAATATATATGTATATATACATATAAATAAATATATATATATATATATATATATATATATATATATAAAATAGATAGATAGGTAGATAGATAGATAGGTAGATAGATAAATATAACTATGAATGTGTGTTTAGATCACATCTCTGACATCACTCTGAAATAGTTTGCTGCCAGGGGCTTTAGTACATACAATATATGCTATTTTATAATAAAGCTATCAGTTAAAAAGCTAAGCATTATTTACTATAGATGATCACCCAAGTGTACCATTAAAGTACTTTAAACTACTTCACTTCATTATTTTCACTCAACAATAGTTTCTAAAGTTTCACTATTATACTGAAGTGTATTTTTCTAAAATATGAAGAGCCGGTGTTTGTCAAAATGGAACAGATGAGAAGACTTTAAACTTGCCAATTTACTTCTAATCATTATATTTTCATTTTTTAATATAAAAAATCATGCATCTTTTTTAAGCTTCTGTTCATACCATGTTTTGAGCATACTCTTTTTTGCAGTTATTACTTATTGTAACTTTATTTCTTGTCCCAGGAGACATGCTGCAAGCATCATCTATTTTCACTAAAAATTAACAATTTTTTTTTGATTATTTAAAGAAATTTCTCTTTTAAGTTTATTAAAACGATGTTTTAATGTGCTTGGTAGTAGTTGTAACAATTGAGTGTATTTAGAACAACTGCCCTTTGGTTTTGAGAAGCTATTAGGTAACAATTCTACCTCATTTACAGGCTTTGATAGAAAAGAATATGTACTATATTGCTGCTTGATAGAGAAGAATGTGTACTATATTGCTGCTTGGTAGAGAATTTTAATTTCCACTTTGCTTTTTTATCTTTTTTTCTTTCTTTTTTATATAAACTTTTGTTTTTAATTCTATTTTAATTCATTATATTCTTTCTCTTTTTCTCTCTATTTCTTGACATATATTTTTTTATGTTGCTTATTTTCATAGTAAGTAACATGTTCATTTGCATATGTGAATTAAAATATTTTAAATATTTTTTTTGGATCAGAACTTTACTTTATAAACATTGCCAGCATATTGAGTTGTTACTTGTGAGAAATAGATTTGTTACTTATGGAATGGAAGTAAATTATACATGTATGCTAAAATGTTCAGTAACTAAAAAATTATTTTGACATAAATTAATAAGTTTATTATGTTGTAATCTTTTTTCCTCTTCTAATTATAATCTTTAAGTTTAAATTTCTGTGGTTTTACACACATGTGGTTAAGATAAATTTTTATATATGCCATTTTCCTTTTTAAATATGGAAAAACTGAACTAATAGAGCTTAAAGTATATCCTATTAATTAAATATATTTTTTAATAATTAAAAAATTAAAATTAATAATTAAATGTTAAATTAAATTTTGAATTTAAATTTTTTAGAAATATTAATTTTTAATTATAGACTATTTATAAGACTATTTATTTTAAGACTATTTTTTTGATTTCTGTTTTAGGCTCGTGTTTTATATGACTTTGATGGGGATCCAAAAAATGGAGAGTTAATAATTCGTGCTGGTGATATTTTATCAGTGGCACGACAGGTAAGAAGTTTTTAAAGTTATTTTTTAAATATTTGTTGTATTTTAAAAATTACTGATGAGGTTTAAAAATTATTTTTTACTTTTAGTGTAAAATTTTATTTTTAACGAGACAGTAAAAGGTAGTAATAAAATTAATTGACATTGAAATATTTGAAATTCCAAAGAATGATTTGTAACCTTCATTCTGAAGGCATTATTATTAGTAGTAAAACAGATTGTTTTAAATAAGTTTAAGAATTATACAGGCGCATAAACTATATTATATTAACATACATAGTGCAAAAATTGTACTAAATAGCATATAACAAATAGTTGTATTAATTAGTTATTATTTGCATTGGTGTTAAATATTGGAATAATCTTCCTAAATTCCAGGCAGAAATGTATCATACTATCTCTTTTCATCTTGTCACAAACCAAAGCAGAAAACCCTATCACTATTTTTATGCAATGTTCTATAGCTTGTATGTTGCATGGTAAATTTTCTAAAAGATTAGTTAGTTGAATTTGATGCTCTTTTGTCAGTTGCGGTTGTCTCTTTAACATTTTTAGTTGTGGCTCCATCTGCTGGAAATTTATTTAATCAATCAAATCCACTCTTCGCTATAAAAGTATGAGTAGGAATTTTCACACACTTGTTTGATTAGCTTTCATACATGTTTCTTCTTTGGCTCTATGTGAATGCTCAACATTTCTTGGATAATGCCCAACACTTCTCGAATATAAAGAGCTAGACCTTGGTCAGGTCAGGTTTATCCTGCTACTGGTAACATGTAACCCAGTACAATCTGCTTCATGTCCTGCTGCCTTGTAGGATATGCCTTTTTAGGCAAAGACTAGGAGATGCAAACTCCGACATAAAACACCCCCTGCCTTGGGGCTCTTGGTTGAGTAAAGGCTAGAGCTGGTGTCTCAATGAAAATACTCATCTTGGGCAGATGTTAAATGCATCCGGCTGATGTCTTGTAGAAGGCCTCCTAGGCAAAGACTTAAGGGGTAAACAGATTCTATCTATTGACCAGTCTCGCACCCCTTCTTCATCTATTAGGCTGGCGCAGATGTATTTTCAATACATTGTTTCCAGTTTAGGATGTTGAACGCTGGATCCTCTTGACTCAATTCATGGGTTTTGCTTGTGTCTCTGTTTTATGACTAGGCAACTCATTCTATTATCTACAAATGAGGGTACAGCTCTAAAACTCAGTTTTATGGTTCTGAGGCCGGCTGGTAGTCAGGTTTCCCGAACTCTGTGGTAGCTCTCAGAGAGGCTGATTCCATCACAGCTGAAAAATATCAGAGTACTAACAGTGCCATGTTGCGCATGGATGGTGTCCGTGTTTGTACTTTTGGTATGCATTGCCAAGGCCACATTGGAGCCCTTTGTTACGGCTTGGGGTTTATTAGTGGAAATGAGGCAATTGCTTGGGCTATAAAACAATGTACTGAGTACTATCTATGTTTCGATTCAAGTTCTTTAACAAATTTAAAAATGAATAAAGTAACAAAAACTATAAAACACAAAAAACCAGTCATCACCAAGTTCGCTAATCATTCACCAATATTCGTGGTCTTCGAAGTAACTTTTCTTCTGTTGAGTCTTATCTCTTGCAAAGTTCACCAGACCTACTTGCTCTTTGTAAGACTAATTTGAGTTCAGCTGTCTTATCTTGTGATCTTAGTGTTGATGGTTATCTTCCTTTAATTTGTAAAGACTCCAATAGTCACATGCTTGGCCTGGGCATTTACATTCGTAAGAATTCACCCATTTGTCGGGAAACTAGGTTTGAATCCACAGACTACTTTTTTATGTGCTTTCGTTTAGCACCACTTCACTCTATCACCTTTCTCTTTGTTCTATATCGCTCTCTCTTATCTCAAGACTACACTCTTCTTGATATTATTTCTGATTATATTGACCAAGTCCTCATTCTTTATCCATCAGCCAATATTGTTGTTGTCGGTGACTTTAATGTTCATCACACTGAATGGTTTGGCTCTAGTGTCAGTGACTCTGCAGGCATTAAGGCCCACAACTTTTGTCTTTCTCAATCCCTAACTCAAATATTCAACTTTCCAACTCGCTTTCCAGACAACCTGAATCATTTACCTTCTCTACTCGACTTATGTCTTGTTTCTGATCCTAGTCAGTGCTCAGTTTCTTCACACTCACGCTTAGGTGCTTCTGATCATGGTTTGGTCTCTCTAAAACTATTATCTCATTCTTCTTTATCATCAGAATCCTCCTATCATCGTACATCTTACAACTACCTTAAAGCTGACTGGGACTTTTTCTGTGATTTTCTTTGTGATGGCCCCTGGGTAGAAATCTTTCGTCTCTCAGTTGACTAATGTGCTTCTAACATAACTTCGTGGATTCAGGCTGGCATGGAATCCTTTATTCCCTCTGGACGATTCCAGGTCAAGCCTCACTCTCCTCCATGGTTTTCCTCACATTGTACTGCTGGAATTGCCAATCGAAACCATTACTTCCATATCTATCAGCAAAACAATTCTCCAGAAAACAGATGTCTGTTTATTACTGCTAGGAACCATTGTAAAAAGGTTTTGTCTAATGCCAACGCCCGCTATTCTCAGATCATAAAATCTCATATTTCATCACAAAAATTAATCTTTAATAGTTTCAATAATAAGGGCAAGTCTGTAATTCCACCTCTTTTGTATGGTTCAGACTTTGTCACCTCACCTAAAAACAAAGCTGAATTGTTTGCTAAGAACTTTTCATCAATATCATCTCTTGATGCCACTAGTTGCGTTCTACCTGATATAGCCGTCAAACAGGTTGATCCATTGCTCGACATTCGTATCACTCCAGCTTCTGTATCTAAAGTAATTTCCCGCTTAGACTCTTCTTCAGCTTGCAGCCTGGACAACATACCTATTATAGTCTTGCAGAAGTGTTCTCCGGAGCTGTCGTCTATCCTTTTAAAACTATTTAACAAGTGCTTATCAGTCTTGTTTTCCAGCCTGCTGGAAAGCACCATCTGTTATCCCTATTTTTTAAAATTCTGGAAAAGCGATCCGATTCGTCTAACTACCGTCCCATTAGTCTTCTTCCTATCATAAGTAAGGTTTTTGAATCTTTAATTAACAAACACTTTATCTCTCATCTCCAATCTTATAAACTACTTTCTGATCATCAATATGGATTTCGATCTTCTTGTTCTACGGCTGATTTGCTATCAGTAATAACCGATAGGTTTTATCGCGCATTAGATAAAGGTGGAGAGGTTAAGGCCATTGCTCTTGACATTTTTAAAGCATTTGACAAAGTTTGGCATGCTGGTCTTCTCCAAAAGCTTTCTTCTTATGGTGTATCTGAAAACTTCTTTAAGATTATTGAATCCTTTCTTTCCAATCGTAGTATAAAAGTTGTCCTTGATGGACAGCACTCTTCTTCTTATTCTGTAACCTCAGGGGTTCCCCAAGGTTCAATCCTTGGCCCTATACTCTTTTTAATTTACATTAACAATCTTCCAGATATTCTCATCTAAGATGGCATTGTTCGCTGATGATACTACCATTTATTATTGTCACGATAAGAAGCCAACTCCCTCTGGTTGCTTGCACGGGGCATCTGAGCTTGAAAAGGATCTCAATTCTGCTACAGCATGGGGCTCACAGTGGCTGGTGAACTTTAATTCAGATAAAAGTCAATTTTTTTTGGCCAATCGTTATCGCAATAGTTTAGACCTTCCTATATTTATGAACGGTAATGTACTCGATGAGTCATCTACCCTTCATCTTCTAGGATTAACTCTCACTTCTGATCTTTCTTGGAAACCTTATATCAAATCTGTTTGCAAAATTAACATCTGCTAAAGTTGCTTCTCTTTATCGAGCTCGTCACTTTCTTACTCTGGATTCTATTCTCTATCTCTATAAATCTCAAATCCGTGCTTGTATGGAATACTGTTGTCATATCTGGGACGGATCTTCTAATGATGCCCTTTCTCTTTTAGACAAGGTGCAAAAATGCATTATAATTATAGTTGGACCTGCTCTTGCAGCCAACCTCCAACCATTATCACATCAATGTAATGTTACTTCTCTTTCTTATTTCTACAAATACTGTATTGGACACTGCTCTAAAGTGCTAGCGTCTCTTGTGCCATCTACTAAAATTCATTTCCGTGTTACTCGACATTTAATTAAGTCTTATTTTTTTACTGCGACTGTTCCTAAGTGCTCCAAAAATTCTTACTCGTCTAATTTTTTTCCTTGAACATCAGTTCATTGGAATTAGCTTTCTTCTTCTTGCTTTCCTGATTCATATAATTTGCAATCTTTTCAAGTCGTCTGTCAATCATTATCTTGCTCTACAATCTTTATCTTTTTTTCTCCAGTAACATCCAACTCTAATTAGTGGTTGCTTGCAGCCTTGTTTGGAGCGAAGATTTAAAAAAATTAAAATAAAGTGTAAAAATATATAATTATATGCCAGTATTTAATAAATAGTAAATGCAAATATAAGTTAAAATAAATACAGTATTTTAAATTTTTTTTCTAGCCTCTGCTAAATTTTATAATTTTTCTGGTGCCTGGACTGGTTTTCAAATAGTCTCATTTTTAGGTAGGGCCCCTGTCACTTCCTGCTGGTTTGTCCTTATAGAGCTAAAACGTTTTTTAATTGTTTTCTTTGGCTGCATTCTTATTTAATGCTTTGGTAGTCATTTAAAAAAATTTTTTCATGCTTTGGTAGTGAACCACTATTTATTAGCAGTTTGGATATTAGTACCCAGAGCAGGTATTTTAAATAATATTTAGGATTTCCATTTTAAATGTGTTGATTAATCACAAAACTTTCACAGAAAAGTTTAAAAAACATTTGGAATTAGATTTAAAACTATGTGGAATAATAAACTTACCATCGCCCTTATAAATTATGGTCTATTCCGCACTAACCATTTCTATACTTATCCAAATATTTAGTTAGTGATAGAAAATAAAAATTTGTGAAATCTTTGTTAAATACTTTAAAACTACTTCGAAAATGTTCAATAATTTAAAGCTTCTTGTTGTAAAATTGTAAACTTCTAAAAAAAAATGAATATAGGCTTAAAATTTTTTTTCTTTATCAAGTTTCTAATAAGTTTTTATCATATTTTTTAGAAGACCATCCGCAGCTAATTAGAGCCCTCGCCCTATTGATTAATTTTGAAGAAGATAAAAGTTTCATTGTAAAATTTTTTTTTCTATAAAAAAAAAGTTGTCTCTTCAATGTGTGTTAAATCCGCAGACTAATTACCTAAGCATATTAATAACATAAGTATCTCTACTGTGACATGTGCAAAAAATTTCTACAGCTGTTTCGATGATATAGAAGTTATTAGCTTTTTTTAAAAACTCTCTCTTTTGTTTGTTATAGTATATATTATCTTTTTATATACTATTTATAAAACATCAATAGAATTTTAAAAATGTTTTTTTTTATGTTTTAGAAAATTAGAAAAAAATTTTAAAATTATAATAATAAATGTTTAAGCAGCAGAATTTCAAGCCTCATGATGTACTTCAGAACCCTCATGTTGTACTTCAAATATGAGCTAACCACTTTGGCTACTAAGGCACGCTAATCTGTAAATTTTTAACACTATTTAATAAACAAAAAATGGAATAACTTTTTAAAATGGCAAATAAATGCTGTAAATCAAAATTAAGGAGATATTGCTACAATGCAAGTTTTAAATAAAATTAAAACTTAATAAAACTTCAAAAATGTTTTATTTTGTAATTTAAAAAAACTTAAAAAATTAAAAATAAATAAAGAAATTGAAAGCGCAAGGGTTTGACGTTTACTTGAAAACTGCTGCAATGCAATTTTCAAGTAAAAGCAAAATTGTAAAACCTGATATATGTTTTAGCATTACATAACTTTAAGTTAACATAAGTTTAATATTTGCATACACTTTAGTTCACATTTTCTTATAAAAAGTGCTGTGACTTTTTCTCCACATTAACTTGGGTGTAAAGTTGTTTTAAATAACATCATAATAGGTGTCATCTTCATAATATTTTCTTATAAAAGGTGTTGGCAAGTTGGTAATGGGTGCTGTAAGTTTCGTGCAAACATGCACAATTGAGTAACAGCAGCAGCAAGTTTAGTATTTAAATATTATAGGATTAGTCAAAAATTGCTGCAGGGGTAATTCTTGTCCAATTTTGCTCATATTGGTTTCATCTTTTTAATTTTTCTATAATATAGAAATCAAGGAGAATATGTGATTTCCTAAAAAATGTTGTTATCACTTAAATCTAATGTATATGAATGTATGTATGTATGTATGTATGTATGTATGTATGTATGTATGTATGTATGTATGTATGTATGTATGTATGTATGTATGTATAAATGTATGTATCTATGTATGTATGTATGTATCTATGTATGTATCTATGTATGTATGTATGTCAACTCTTGGAATTAAGATTGGCATTCGGCAATGCTGACCTTACTGCTGACCCAGAAGCGTTTTAGGTTGGCAAAAAATCGCGGACCTTGTTTCTATGTTTTATGGTCAAACCTTAGTTTTACATTTTTTTTTGTGTCAACCTGATTCTGACCTTACACAGATTAAGGTCGACAAATTATTGCAGACCATTCAATTTGTTTTTTGATATTGCTGCATTGTTTTTGGTTTAAGATTTAAAATAATCTGAAAATAAATTATTTTAATAAAAAATGATTATTTTTAGTAGTATAATAAATATATTCAAGGATGTTGGTGATGGATGGTGGGAAGGAAGTTTGAATGGTGGAGCTCATGGTTTATTTCCTGCTGCGTATGTTGAGGTAAGATTATGTGTTTGCATATAATTAGCGTGTATGAGATTTTATTTATTTATTAAAGAACTTTGTAATTAACACAAAATTAATTTTTTATATATATACACTCAGTGAAATTTCTATAGTTTCATGTAATTATTGCAGATATATGGGGAACTCATTTATAAAATATATTTATACCACAAAAATTTTCTTTATTAGACCTATTGCAAACAAATGCGTTTATAACAATTTTATGTGTTTCTAAAACAATTAAAACTAAATTTTCTAAAATGTTTTTAAAATTGGTATATATACAGGCAAAATTTCCATAGTTCCATTAGTTTGTTTCGAACACTTCATGTTCAAGAGTTAGTTGAAGTTTGAGTTAAATTTTTTAGTTTGTTTGTTTTATATGGAAGCTTTGTGTATTTTTAATCAAGATTTGTTATTTAATTATTACAATGGCACTCATGAAAGTCAATGCCGCTCATGAAAGTCAATGGCACTCATGAAAGTCAATGCCACTCATGAAAGTCAATGCCACTCATGAAAGTCAATGCCACTCATGAAAGTCAATGCCACTCATGAAATTCAATGCCACTCAGAAAGGTGTTAAATGAGGAAGAATAAGCAAAAATTGTATACATACAGCAAAAATTGCTTACAAAGTCTCATCATGCAGTGAACAATTTTATAAATTTAGTTAAAAATTACAACAAAAATCACTTTGAGGGCAGAAATAAAAAAGCAACCAAAAGGCAACATTCTTTCATTTTGCGTTTGGCGTCATCCGGAATACAAACAGCAACACAAATAAGGACTGAACTTGAATTACCTGTGGCTACAAGACGGGTTTAACAAATTTTGTCAAAATTAGGGCGATTCAAATGGAAAAGAACGATCAAAAACCCACCATTGACAAAAAAACATAAAAGTGCAAGATTTAAATTTGCAAAGGACCACATGACATGGGATGCAGAATGGGAAAATGTTATTTTTTCCAACAAAAAAAAGTTTAACTTAGATGGGCCTGATGGTGTCAAGTATTATTGGTATGTTTTGAAAAAAAAAGATAGCATAGCTATGAGTCGTAACTTCAGAGGAGGGGCAGTTATGGTGTGGGTCGCATTTTGTTTCCACGGCAAAATTCCAATATGTTTTATTACTACAAAAATGAATGCAAGAAATTACGTAGATCTTTTAGAAGATGTTTTAATAGAGTTTAGTGAAGGTTTACCTACTGAGAACTGGATTTTCCAACAAGGTAATGTGTCGATTCACACAGCACAAAGTGTAAAAATGTGGTTCCAGGAAAAAAATATAAGTGTTTTGGATTGGCGATCATGTTTACCTGACCTGAACCCTATTGAAAATTTATGGGGAACATTGGCGCGAAATATATATGGAAATTCTCAACAGTATAATACATTACAAGAACTTAAAACATCTATTCAACATGCATGGAACGGTGTTTCAAAGGTTTATTTGGAAAATCTTATAAAAAGTATGAAAAATCGAATCTTCGAATTAATCAGTGTGAAAGGTGGTAGCGCACATTATTAAAAACTAAACTATTTAAAAGATTATTATCTAAAACAAAAATTATAAAGGATTACCTTTTATGGAACTATAGAGGTTTTGCCTGTTTTTTTTAAATATTTCTAACTTTTAGATTTTACGAAATAAATTAATTATTTTCTATTAAAATATTAATTGCTTATTTATTTATTTCTAATAAATTTTTCGTAAATTTATTTATATGTAAAAATTGTAAGTGGAACTATAGAAATTTCGCTGAGTGTATATTAATTACCTTTTTTAATATAAATTTTATTTAGTATAGGCTTAGGACAAAATATTGTGGACTTTTTGTTTTATAACTGTGCTTTAAGACTTCAAGTTAATGATTAAAAGCGAATTATTTTCAAGTAGTTAAAAATGTGCTATTTTAATTTTATATATTTTTATACTTTCAAATATAAACAAATATGCCATTAAATTAGGATTTCTTATTATTTACTGTTTATAGAACTTTAAAAAGATACCAAATCTGACACTTTGGATCTAATAATTGATAATCTAAGAACTAAATTTGTGGAACAGTAGATAAAAAATTGTTTATGAATCATTTTCAGAATGTAGTAAAATATTTTAATCTGTCAAAAGAGATAAATTGCAAAATAAAAGAGAAACAGCAAAAAGCTATTTTTTAATCTATATTTTGTATTAAATTTTGATAATTGCTCTACGGGTTCTTTAAAGTTTATTGTTTTTGAATTTTTTATTTGAAGCAACAAAAAGAATGACTTAACTAAAAGCTTTAAATTAACAAAAAAAAATTTTTTACATATAAAGTACTCATTAATCTATATTTTTACATATTTTAAATTATTCAATCTCTTTTCCTCAGCAAGCATACCAACATTTGGCTTAATGCCTCGTCAAGTTTAGCACAGTGTTGTTGGTAACTTCATCACAAATTTTTCTCAATTTTTTGAGCAGCTCAGACTGTCAGTTAAACTCAAGTTCCGTTAGTCAGTCTCTGCATCGACATTTTAGGCAGCTTAGACACTGCATTACTTTATGAGCAGCTTACGTATGCTGTAAAACAAAAATTTTTAGTTTTTATATATACATATATATATATATATATATATATATATATATATATATATATATATATATATATATATATATATATATATATATATATATACACTAGGGTTCTTGCATTACTTAGCTAAGCGTAAAACAAAACAATATAAAAAGCTTAATCTCATAAGCAAGGTATTGTGAGAAAGCAAATGTTTAGGAAAAACAGGGATCTTGTTGAAAAAAAGAAATGCAGGTAAAATAAAGTGGATGACTCATTTTAATAAATTGCTGAAAAAAATGTTTATTAAAAATAATGATTTTCTTATTATTATTTAAATTATGGTTTTTCTGCAGTAAATAAAGTTTGTGGACCGGCAGAGCTGGAGTTAGGTATTTATAATGCTTTTTAGGCAAAACTAGGTGAGAACTTTGAATACCTGGCTTCTAATGTTTAGTCTGAAATAAAGACGACCCTGGGGTATGGGTTTTCAGTGGGTGCTAAATCTTTGAAATGCAATTATACATGAAGGTAAATTTGTAGTTAATAGTAGGGAAAAAAAAATCTGTGGTTAGAGTTTGTTTACCTTGAAAATGTTTTCAACATTGTAAATGGGAGAGATAGTGTGTTGGGCTATGAAGTATTTTAAATAGGAGAGATAGTGTAGTGGGAGAGATTGTGGTATTTGTGGTATATGATAGATAGTAGTAAATGTGGTGGGTGAGATAAATGGAAGAGTGTGGCAGGTGTGAAGTATTTTTGAGTTGAGAGTAGTTATCACAGCTATTCATAAAAATACCACAACAGCAATTAAGAAGATGGAGGATTAAAATGGATGGAGAGAGTAAATGTTTTAAAGTGACTGTTAGGGTGCATCAGGGTTCAGTGTTTAGGACTAAACACTGAACCCTGCTTTTTGTTATTGTCTTAAAAGCTCTCACCCTTTCAAAGCTCTTTCTAAAGAGTTTAGTTTTAATTTATTATGGGATTCTATGCAGATGATTTACATTTACAATTAATACAAGAATAAAAATAATGAGTTGCTTTTATAAGATTTTTGTACCAGCTAATTGGCTTGCGTTGGATCTATGATGTTGTAAAAGAATTTTCTGTTGTTTTTTTTAAATCTAAGTTATCAATCTGTTTTATATAATTTTTTTACTTTATAGGCTAACTTTATTTTCTTAGTGAATTTGTATATATATATATATATATATATATATATATATATATATATATATATATATATATATATATATATATATATATATATATATATATATATATATATATCAATCATATAAATGTTCAATCATATAAATGTTCAAATTTATCCTTTAGTTATGTGAAGAAGATGATGTTCCTAACTTTCCTCCACCTTTGCCTCCTCAGATAGAAACTACCAATGGCACCACTTATAACCAATTAAAGTTAGATGGTGGAATTAAAATAGACTGGGATGATGATCATTCATCAACATCAGACACAGTTTCACAAGATGTTGATTTTGGTTCAAATTTATCATCAAGAACAAACACTATATCCAAAACTGGAACAGTAAGGAAAAGCATAAATAGGTAAAATTCTCTATTAGTTTTTAATTAATTTATCAAAGAAATATAAAAATTTAATATAAACATAGTTCTAGCGAAAGTTTAAATCACAAAACCTTCTCTTTCAAATGCTGATTTGGTAATTGTAATAACTGAGAGGTTTTATTGTGCATTAGATAGATGCAGAGAGGTTGAACCTATCACTTTTGATATTTTTAAAGCCTTTGATAAAGTTTGACATGATGGTCTTCTCAATAAGCTCTTTTCTTACATTGTATCAGGTAACATCTGATAGATTATTAAATCCTTTCTTACTAATTGTAGTATAAAAGTTGTTCTCGATGGACAGCACTTTTCTTTATTTCCTGTAACTTTACGGGTTCCTCAAGGTTCTATCCTTGGCCCTATACTTTTTTTAATCTACATTAACAATCTTCCAAAAATTCTCACATCTAAGGCAGCATTGTTTGATGATGGTACTACCATTTATTTTTGTCTTGATATGAAGCCAACACTGTCTGATTGCTTGTAGGGGACACTTGAGCTTGAAAAGGATCTCATTTCTGCTAAAGCATGGGGTTCTCAGTGGCTTTTGACTTCTGTTCTCTATTGTTTTGCTATTGTTATTTGTAACAATAAATAGCGCGGATATCTTGGTTTTTAAACAATACGTTAAACGTTCATCTAATAATACATCCTTGTTTTATCAGTATTATTTACATCACACTCAAAACAATGATTTTGCTCTCGTAAGCGCAAGCTGTTTGAAAGAACTTTTTTAAACTGCTTGAACTTTAACTAAGATAAAACTTAGTTCAAGATAAAGTTTCTGAAAAATTATGCAAAGTTTTTAGATGCGTTATCACCTAATTTATTGTCCATCACATCAAGCACATCTGGATTTCAAATAAACAGTTTGTTTTCCTTTCAAGTCCTGGTATAATGAATGTTATTATTCAATTTGTAGAAGACTTCATTTTCATGCTATAGAATTAAATCAATTTTTACAATATTCTTCAATATTTGAAAAAGCATTTGATCTAGTTGATCATGAAAAATTACTTTTAAAATTAATGAAAATCTTTCTAGCTGGCTTACATCCTGTATTGAAAATTACTTATCTAATCATTGCTAAATTGTAAAAACAAGTGATTACACCACTGCCTGGAAATATATTCAAGTAATAGTTCTTTGGAGTAGTGTTTTAAGCCTAATCTTATTCTTTTTCTTTATTTCTGACATTAACACTTACTTGCTACCTGAAACTGTTCTCAAAAAATGTGCTGACGACATCCTAATCTACACTATCTATGATGAAGTTCCTGTTGGCATACCCTAATCCATTATTGATATGGTGGTGCTTTGTTCTGTATTCAATGTTATGAAAATTAGCAGTTAAAAATATATAAAAACAATAGAATTAAGGTGTTCCAACAATTATACTCAATAACACTCCAAATTGTCAATAGCTACAAATACCTTGCCCTTCTGTTCATTGAGAATCTTGATTGCTATGAACAATCTATAAAAATGCATAACACTATTAATCTAGTTTCGTTTTTACTCAACCGTCTTATTGCATATTGGAGTCAACCCAATTTTTTAAAAGTTTAGAGTTCTTATGATATTTTTTTATTAGCCATTTTTAGTGCTCAGATACTTGCTTTATGCAGCATTGTGAAAAATAAATTCAACAAAAATTTGGTAAGAATTAGTGCAATTGAATTGATGCAATCAACTCCAGCTTCTTGAATATTTGCTTTGGCATTGAAGAAATACTAAATCTGTATTATAATTAACAAACTAGATCTTTGGTGACACGTACCATCAGATAACCATCAAATTAGCTTGCACCAATAGCAAAAAAACACTTTTTATTCAATTCCTATTCGCTCTAAATCCATTACTACTATTTCTCAACAATTTTTTATTCAAAATACCTCTTTGTTCTAGTGAAAAAATTCTTTGTTATAGTATTAGTGATTTCTACATCCATTGCAATATTAGGAGCTTTGCTGCTTTTTCAATGGATAAATAAACAGTTTTGTTTTTACATGATCTTTAAGTTGCATTCTTAGCTAACTTTAGTTTAATATTTAGTATTAGATAAAATTGTAAAATTCATTGTTTAAAATGCGTTTAAAATGCGGCTCAATTTAAAATAAAGATTAAAAGTTAAAAATTCTTTTTTTTTCAAGATTTTATTGTAAACAATTTTTCATGAATATGTTACATCTTACATAATTCTTTGGTCAGATAATTTTTTTAGATTTTATCAGTTCTTCACTTAATTGTTACAATTTCACATTCCATTAGGTAAACTGATAAATTTCATAAAGATTTTAATTTGTGAATGAAATTAATTTGTAAATAAAATTATTTTGTAAGAAAAATAAATTTGTAAACAAAATTATTTTTAAATAATATTAATTTGTGACTAACATTAACTTGTGAAATTTTTAAGTTTAGTTTATTTATTATAATTTTTTTTTTTAATTTTTTTTTAAATATTTTATTTAAAAACAGGCTGTTTTTTAATGCAATACAAGTTTGTTTTAAAGTCAGAAATGATTTGGTTGTTAACTATCTGTAAATTATTTTTTAAAGTGATAAATGATTTGGTTGTGAACTATCTGTAAATGTGAGAAATGATTTGGTTGTGAACTATCTGTAAATGTGAGAAATGATTTGGTTGTGAACTATCTGTAAATATTTGGTTGTGAACTATCTCTAAATCAGCATTAAAAGTGAGAAATGATTTGGTTGTGAATTATCTGTAAATTATTTTTTAAAGTGAGGAATGATTTGGTTGTGAACTGTCAGTCAACTTGTTTGTCTAACTTAAATAGTCAGACAACAAATTCTTATAGCTGAATAATTTATCAGTATACAACAGTTTATTGTATAACATTTAAATAATAAAAAATTCTATATATTTTATTTTATTCACAGTTTAAAAAAAAATTGAATGTTGCTGCAAGAAATTAATGAATATAAATAAATAAGAATACACTAACAAATAAAAAAATAAAAAATAAAATAGAAATAAATATATAAATATAGATAACTTGTTAAGTAGGTAAAATGAATTTTAACTTGTTTAAAAAATATGAGAGTATTTTTAGGTTTTCAAACTTTGTGAAATCAGGTGGTGAAGATTTTCTACTTGGAAAGTTACCTGAAACGAACATCTCTAAATATGACCATTTAGTAACTGAGGTACAATTTATTTTGAAACTGAGGCACAATTTATTTAGTAATTTATTTAGAAGGCCTCCTAGGCAAAGACTTTAGGGGTAAGCAGAAAAATTCTGCTAACCAGCCTCGAACCCCTTCTTCATCTATTAGGCTGGCGTAGATGTAACCTGTGTTACATTGTTTCCTGCCTAGGATGATGAATGCTGGATCTCCTTGAATCTACTCATAGAATTTTGCTTATGCCTCCTTGATAATGGCTATGCAACTCTTCCTGTTATCTCCATATGAGGGTACAGCTCTAAAACTCAGTTTAATGGTTCTGAGGCCGGCTGGTAGTAAGGTTTCCCGAACTCTGTGGTAGCTCTCAGAGAGGCTGATTCCATCAACAGCTGCAAAATATCAGAGTATTAACAGTGCCATGTTGCGCATGGATGGTGTCCCTGTTAATGCTTTTGGTGTGCATTGTCAAGGCCACATAAGGAGCCCTATGTCACGGCTTAGGGTTAATTAACAGGACTGAGACAACTGCATAGCTCATTGATTAGGAGGCTGTGCTCTATCTATGAATGAGTCAAGTTCTCATTAAACCCAAATCATGACCAAAGTAACCAAAAATTTAAAACCTAAAAAACCATCCCCACCACCTAAATATTTTAATATATCTTTTACAAATATTCGCGGTCTACGAAGCAACTTTCCATCAGTTGAATCTTACCTCCTGCAAAATTCACCAGACTTGCTTGCACTCAGTGAAACAAATTTAAGTTCTGCAATTCCTTCTACAGATGTCAGTGTTGATGGGTACTATCCTTTGATTCGTAAAGACTCCAATAGTCACATGCTAGGTTTAGGGGTATACATACGCATTAATTTCCCTATTTGTCGTGAAATCAGGTTCGAATCCTTTGACCATTCTTTTATGTGCTTTCGCCTAGCACCTCTTCACTCTATCACCTTTCTCTTTGTTCTTTATCGTTCTCCTTCTTCCCATGACTGCACTCTTTTAGATGTTATCTCTGATCAAATTGACCATGCCCTCTCTCTTTACCCCTCTGCCAAAATTGTTGTTGTTGGTGATTTTAATGCCCATCACACTGAATGGCTTGGCTCTAACACCACTGATCCTGCTGGCACTAAAGCCTTTAACTTCTGCGTTTCTCAATCTCTTATTCAGATATTTAACTTTGTGACTCGTTTTCCTGACAACCCTAATCATTTACCTTCACTCCTTGACCTATGTCTTGTCTCTGACCCTAGCTTATGTTCAGTTTCTCCCTTTTCTCCCTTAGGTGATTCTGACCATGCAATGATCTCTATAAATCTTTCTTCTCGTACTTCTTTTTTGGGCTCACCTTATCATCGCACCACCTACTACTACCCTAAAGCTGACTGGGATTCCTTTCGTGATTTTCTTCGTGATGGTCCTTGGGCTGATGTTTTTTCTCTCTCAGCTGACAAATGCGCCTCCTACATAACATCCTGGATTCAGGCGGGAATGGAAGCTTTTATTCCTTCTCGTCGGTTTCAAATCAAGCCTCATTCTACTCCATGGTTTTCTCCTTCTTGTGCGGCTGCTATATCCAATCGTAACCATTTTTTTCATCTTTTTCAAAAGAACAACTCTCTTGAGAACAAACAGCTATTTATTATTGCAAGAAATCGATGTAAAAAGGTGCTTTCTGATGCTAAACTCCATTATTCTCAGTTCACTACATCTCGCATCTTATTGCAGAAGTTTGGCTCTAAAGACTTTTGGAAAATCTTCAACAGCATTGTTAACAATGGTAGATCTAACATTCCATCTCTCATTCATGGGACTGATCTTGTTACCTCTCCCAGGCATAAGGCAGAACTGTTTGCAAAGAACTTTTCTTTTATTTCCACTCTTGAATCTTATGGACATTCTCTTCCTTCCATTTCAGTCAAACAGGTTGACCCATTGTTAGACATTCAAATCACTCCGGCTTCTGTTGCTAAAGTCATATCTCAATTAAACTCGTCTACAGCTTGTGGTCCAGACAACATTCCTGTCACAGTCTTGCAGAATTGTTCTCCAGAACTTTCTTTAATTCTCTCTAAACTATTTAACAAGTGTTTGACTGAGTCTTGTTTTCTTGCTTGTTGGAAAATGGCATCTGAGGTTCCAATATTCAAAAACTCTGGAGAAAATTCTGACCCCTCCAATTATCGTCCGATCAGTCTTCTTTCTGTTATTAGCAAGGTCTTTGAGTCTTTGATCAACAAATTCCTCACATCTCATCTTGAGTCAAATAAACTGCTGTCAGACAATCAATACGGTTTTCGATCCTCTCGCTCTATGGCCGACTTGCTAACTGCTGTAACTGAAAGATTTTATCGTGCATTAGATGGAGGCGGTGAGGCTAGGGCTATTGCTCTCGACATATCTAAAGCTTTCGACAAAGTTTGGCATGCTGGTCTTCTCCATAAGCTTGCTTCATATGGTGTTTCTGGGAAAGTTTTTGAGATTATCAAATCATTTCTTTCTGACCGGTTTATTAAAGTCATCCTTGAAGGCCAACACTCTTCTTTATTTCCATTAACTTCTGGGGTTCCCCAAGGTTCCATCCTGGGCCCTGTTTTGTTTCTTATCTACATAAACAATTTTCCTGACAACCTTTCATCTAAAGTAGCTCTTTTTGCTGATGATTTGCTCAACTTTATACTCCTGTCTTGACAAAAAGTCTTCTCTTTTCGATCGCCTAGAACAAGCAGCTGATCTTGAATCTGATCTCACTTCAGTAATAGATTGGGGTTCACATTGGTTTGTGAATTTCAACTCTAAAAAAACCCAGTTGCTTACTGCAAACAACTACTGTAATATGGTCAACATTCCTATATTAATGAATGGCAATCCTCTTACTGAGTCGTCTTCTTTACGTCTTCTTGGATTATCGCTTACTACTGACCTTTCATGGAAACCATATATACAATCGATTGCTAAATTAGCTTCTGCTAAGGTTGCTTCTCTTTATCGTGCTTGCCATTTCCTTACTTCTGATTCCATTCTCTACCTCAAATCTCTTATTCGTCCCTGTATGGAATACTGTTGTCATATTTGGGCTGGTTCTTCTAACGATTCACTTTCTCTTCTTGACAAGGTCCAAAAACGCATTGTAAATGTTGTTGGACCTGGACTATCTGCTAAGCTTGAACCTCTTTCCCATCGTCGTAAAGTTGCATCTCTTTCTCTTTTCTACAGATACTATCATGGTCACTGCTCAAAGAAGTTATCATCTCTAGTTCCATCAACTAAAATTCATTCTCGTTTTACTCGTCATTCAGCTAAGTCTCATTCGTTTACTGTATCTGTCCCTGCATGCTCTAAAAACTTTTATTCATCTAGTTTTTTTCCCCGCACTTCAATCCTTTGGGACTCTCTCCCATCTTCATGTTTTCCTGACTCATACAACCTTCAACTTTTCAAGTCTTCTGTCAACCGTTTCCTTGCTTTATAACTCTGTTCTTTTTTTTTCCTAGTAACTCCCAACTTAATAGTGGTTGCTTGCAGCCTTGTTGGGAGTGAATGCAAATAAAAAAAATAAAAAAAAAAACTGAGGCACAATTTATTTAGTAACTAAGGTGCAATTAATTTGTATTGGCAGCACAACAACACTTGTTGGTTTTTTTTAATTTCTAAATTGTTTCTTGAAATTGTTAAGTAATAATAAAATGTTTAGTTTTATAAAATATAACTAAACATGAAAGCATTAGGTAAAAAAAAATTTTTTTTTGCAAAACCTAGAAATTTTCTTATCCCAGTATACAGAATTTTAAAATCAAATCCCAGAATTCCTAGCAAATCTCAGTATTTTGTCTTTCAAAATTGAAAAAAAAAATCCTAACTAAATTCAGTTTATTTTAGTAAAATGACTTTAGAAAATAAGCTTGGTCCTGCGGAATATGTCCTTTTTTGACTATGCTTCTTGGTTAAATTTTTATTAAAAAATCATTAACTTTTTTAAGTTAATCACTCAGTGATTAACTTAAAAAAGATGGACTTCTAATATTTTAGAAAATGTGAACACGGCCGTTTGCAAGTTTTATAACAATGCTGAAAGTTTCAAAAAAACAAAACTAACAAAATAAAAAGAGATTGAAATATCAAAATTAGATAAAGCGAGGCAAAAAAAAAGCAGTTTGAAGTCTACAATAATAAGAATTTCTTTTTCTTAATTTTTTTAAGAGGATAGCAAAAATACAAATTGCAATGTGTTTGTAAAATTTATTTGTATAATTTTAATGTAACAACAAGGGTTGAATTAAGCGAATGCAAAAACGCAAAATCTGAAAAAATATCTAGTATTTAAAATTTTAGTTAATACAAAACCGCGTTTCTTGTTTTTAAGGGGAGAATCAACTTAAATTTGTTAGCAAAAAATAAAAAATATAATAATAAACTTACAATTACAAAAGTAATAACACTCTAGTCACTAACTTCATTACAAAAGTAATAACACTCTAGTCACTAACTTCACTACAAAAGTAATAACACTCTAGTCACTAACTGCATTACAAAAGTAATAACACTCTAGTCACTAACTGCATTACAAAAGTAATAACACTCTAGTCACTAACTTCATTACAAAAGTACTAACACTATAATAGTGTTAGTACTTTTATAACTCACTTATAACTTTTAAAATTCATTCTATGTTCAAGCAACATTAGTATTCCCAAATTTTAATTGAAGTTGAAAAATATTTAGAAGAATAAAATGGATGTTCAAATAATATTAAAACTGAAGTAACTTATAAAAACGTGATAAACAACTTTATGAAAACGTTTCGTATTATAAGTTTAGCATTATGAAAAACGTTACTAATGGACCATAAAAACGCACGTTAATTTTAAAATTAATCAATAAAAAAATTTTTATTGGTTGATTTTAAAATTAACGCTTATTTTTATGTAACGTTTTTCATAATGTTATACTTTATAAAGTACTTTTTTATAACGTTGTTTAAGTGATATGTGAAAGTTCCTGAAATTTTTAATAATATTTAAATATCTGCTTTATTTTTTCTAGATGCTTTTCTACTTTAATAAATGTTTGGAATTGATAATGTTGTTTGAACAAAGAATGAACTTTAAAAGTAATAAGTGCTTTATAAATGTAATAACACTATTATAGTTTTATTACTTTTATAATTTAGTTAGTGACTAAAGTGTTATTACTTTTGTAGTTGTAAGTTTAATGTTTTTGTTTTGTTTTTTGTAACTTTCTCGCTAGCAAACTTTTATTAATTTGCTCCTTATAAACAAAGTACACAGCTTTGCATCAACTAAAATTTTAAAGACCTAATATTTTACCAGAGTTTGCAAATCGCGATCATATAATTTAACTCTTGGTATAAACTTGTTACATTATAATTATACAAATATATTTTACAAATAGATGACGATACATATTTTCTCTTTCCTCTTTAAAAAAAAACACATAAAATATGGGAAAGTCATCCTTTTTAATGCCTTTTTTTTTTAATTTATTTTATTTATTTTATTACCACTAAGAAAAAACAAAAATAAAAACAACGCGCAAATTATTTAAACTATTATTATTGTTTTCTATTTAAGTTTACTTTAATTTCTTATGTAGTTATTAAATTTAAAACAATTTTTCAGTAACGCATATAATATAACTTGCGCAAACAGCCGTGATCACGTTCTCTAACTTGAAAAATGTTTTCATGGTCGTACGAGAAAAAAAAGTAACTCACCTTTCCTAAGAAGGCAAAGATCATACTTATATTCAAAAGATAAG